CTAAAATTGATAGATCTTCTAAGTACAACATCCCCAAAGAAACAAGAGCTTTAAATGATACACTGGACCAGATGGATTTCACAGATATTTACAGAACTTTACGTCCAAACACAACTGAGTACACATTCTGCTCAAGTGCACATGGGACTTTCTCCAGAAGAGGCCACATACTGGGTCATAAAACAGGTCTTAATTAATACCAAAAGATTGGGCTCGTCCCCTGCATATTTTCAGACCATAACGATTTGAAATTAGAACTAAATCGGCGAAGAGGGAGAGTTTGACTTCTTCTTTGCCAATTTGAATGCCTTTAATGTCTTTTTGTTGTCTGATTGCTGAGGCTAGGACTTCCAATACTATGTTGAATAGCAGTGGTGAGAGTGGACATCCCTGTCTTGTTCCTGATCTTAGGGGAAAGGCTCCCAGTGCTTCCCCATTGAGAATGATATTTGCTGTGGGCTTTTCGTAGATGGCTTTTAAGATGTCGAGGAAAGTTCCCTCTATCCCTACACTCTGAAGAGTTTTGATCAGGAATGGATGCTGTATTTTGTCAAATGCTTTCTCTGCATCTAATGAGAGAATCATATGGTTCTTGGTTTTTCTCTTGCTGATATGATGAATCACATTGATTGTTTTACGAGTGTTGAACCAGCCTTGTGTCCCGGGGATAAATCCTACTTGGTCATGGTGAATAATTTTCTTAATGTGTTGTTGGATCCTATTGGCTAGTATCTTGTTGAGAATTTTTGCATCCATGTTCATCAGGGATATTGGTCTGTAATTCTCCTTTTTGGAAGGGTCTTTGTCTGGTTTTGGAATTAAGGTGGTGCTGGCCTCATAGAACGAATTTGGAAGTACTCCGTCTCTTTCTATCTTTCCAAACAGCTTTAGTAGAATAGGTATGATTTCTTCTTTAAACGTTTGATGGAATTCCCCTGGGAAGCCATCTGGCCCTGGACTCTTGTGTCTTAGGAGGTTTTTGATGATTGCTTCAATTTCCTCCCTGGTTATCGGCCTGTTCAGGTTTTCTATATCTTCCTGGTCCAGTTTTGGTAGTTTGTGGCTTTCCAGGAATGCGTCCATTTCTTCTAGATTGCCTAATTTATTGGCGTAGAGCTGTTCATAATATGTTTTTAAAATCGTTTGTATTTCCTTGGTGTTGGTAGTGATCTCTCCTTTCTCATTCATGATTTTATTAATTTGAGTCTACTCTCTCTTCTTTTTAATAAGGTTGGCTAATGGTTTATCTATCTTATTAATTCTTTCAAAGAACCAACTCCTGGTTCTGTTGATCTGTTCCACAGTTCTTCTGGTCTCAATTTCGTTGAGTTCTGCTCGAATTTTAATTAACTCTCTTCTGCTGCTGGGCGTCGGGTCGATTTGCTGCTTCTTCTCTAGCTCCTTTATGTATAAGGTTAGCTTTTGTATTTGAGTTCTTTCCAGTTTTTGAATGGATGCTTGTATTGCGATGTATTTCCCCCTCAGGACTGCTTTTGCTGCATCCCAAAGATTTTGAACAGTTGTATCTTCATTCTCATTAGTTTCCATGAATCTTTTTAATTCTTCCTTAATTTACTGGTTGACCCTTTTATCTTTTAGCAGGATGGTCCTTAACCTCCACGTGTTTGAGGTCCTTCCAAACTTCTTCTTGTGATTGAGTTCTAATTTCAAGGCATTATGGTCTGAGAATATGCAGGGGACGATCCCAATCTTTTGGTATCGGTTCAGACCTGATTTGTGACCCAGTATGTGGTCTATTCTGGAGAAAGTTCCATGTGCACTTGAGAAGAATGTGTATTCAGTTGAGTTTGGATGTAAAGTTCTGTAGATATCTGTGAAATCTATCTGGTCCAGTGTATCATTTAAAGCTCTCGTTTCTTTGGAGTCACAAGAAGAAGTTTGGAAGGATTTCAAACATGTGGAGGTTAAGGACCATCCTGCTAAAGGATGAAAGGGTCAAACAGGAAATTAGGGAAGAATAAAAAAGATTCATGGAAACTAAGGAGAATGAAGATACAACCGTTCAAATTCTTTGGGATACAGCAAAAGATTTCCCTTGAGGGGGAAATACACTGCAATACAAGCATCCATCTAAAAACTGGAAAGAACTCAAATACAAAAGCTAACTTTGCACCTGAAGAAGCTGGAGAAAAAAACAGCAAATAGATCCTACACCCAGCAGAAGAAGAGGGTTAATAAAGATTTGAGCAGAACTCAATGAAATAGAGACCAGAAGAACTGTGGAACAGATTAACAAAACCAGGAGTTGGTTCTTTGAAAGAATTAATAAGATAGATAAACCATTAGCCAGCCTTATTAAAAAGAAGAGACAAAAGACTCAAATTAATAAAATCATGAATGAGAAAGGAGACATCACCACCAATACCAAGGAAATACAAATGATCTTAAAAACATTTAAGAGCAGGTATATGCCAATAAATTAGGCAATCTAGAAGAAATGGACACATCTCTGTAAAACCACAAACTACCGAAACTGGAACAGGAAGAACTAGAAAACGTGACCAGGCTGATAACCGGGGAGGAAATTGAAGCAATCATCAAAAACCTCCCAAGACACAAAAGTCCAGGGCCAGATGGCTTCCCAGGGGAATTCCATCAAACGTTTAAAGAAGAAACCATACCTATTCTACTAAAGCTGTTCAGAAAGATAGAAAGAGATGGAATACTTCCAAACTCGTTCTGAAGCCACCATCACCTTAATTCCAAAACCAAAGACTCCACCAAAAAGGAGAATTACAGACCACTATCCCTGATGAACACAGATGCAAAAATTCTCAACAAGATATTAGCCAATAGGATCCAACAGTACATTAAGAAGATTATTCACCATGACCAAGTGGGATTTAACCCCGGGATACAAGGCAGGTTCAACACTCATAAAGCAATCAATGTGATAGATCATATCCGCAAGAGAAAAAACAAGAACCATATGATCCTCTCATTAGATGCAGAGAAAGCATTTGACAAAGTACAGCATCCATTCCTGATCAAAACTCTTCAGAGTGTAGGGATAGAGGAAACATTCCTCAGCATCTTAAAAGCCATCTAAGAAAAGCCCACAGCCAATATCATTGTCAGTGGGGAAACACTGGGAGTCTTTCCCCTAAGATCAGAACAAGACAGGGATGTCCACTCTCACCACTGCTATTCAACACAGTACTAGAAGTCCTAGCCTCAGCAATCAGGCAACAGAAAGAAACAAAAGGCATTCAAATTAGCAAAGAAGTAGTCAAACTCTCCCTCTTCGCCGATGACATGATACTGTACATAGAAAACCCAAAGACTCCACCCCAAGATTGCTAGAACTCATACAGCACTTCGGCAGTGTGGCAGGATACAAAATCAATGCCCAGAAGTCAGTGGCATTTCTACACACTAACAATGAGACTGAAGAAGGAGAATTTAAGGAGTCAATCCCATTTACAATTGCACCCAAAAGCATAGGATACCTAGGAATAAACCTAACCAAAGAGGTAAAGGATCTATGCCCTAAAACCTACAGAACACTTCTGAAAGAAATTGAGGAAGACACAAAGAGATGGAAAAATACTCCACGTTCATGGATTGGAAGAATTTATATTGTGAAAATGTCAATGCTACCCAGGGCACTGTACACATTTAATGCAATCACTATCAAATACCATGGACTTTGTTCAGAGAGTTCGAACAAATCATCCTAATTTGTGTGGAATCAGAAAAGACCCTGAATAGCCAGGGGAATATTGAAAAAGAAAACCAGAGCTGGGGGCATCACAATGCCAGATTTTAGGTTGTACTACAAAGCTTTGGTCATCAAGACAGTGTGGTACTGGCAAAAAAACAGACACATGGATCAATGGAACAGAATAGAGAATCCAGAAGTAGACCCTCAACTCTAGGGTCAACTAATACTCAACAAAGCAGGAAACACTATCCACTGGAATAAAGACAGTCTCTTCGATAAATGGTGCTGGGACATTGGACATCCACATGCAGAAGAATGAAACTCGACCATTCTCTTACACAAAACACCAAGATAAACTCAAAATGGATGGAAGATCTAAATGTGAGACAAGATTCCATCAAAATCCTAGAGGGGAACACAGGCAACACCATTTCTGAACTTGGACACAGTAAATTCTTGCAAGATACATCCATGAAGGCAAGGGAAACTAAAGCAAAAATGAATTATTGGGACTTGATCAAGATAAAAGATTCTGCACAGCAAAAGCAACAGTCAACAAAACTAAAAGACAACCTACAGAATGGGAGAAGAAATTTGCAAATGACGTATCAGATAAAGGGCTAGTATCCAAGATCTATAAAGAACTTATTAAACTCAACAGCAAAGAAACAAACAATCCGATCATGAAATGGGCAGAAGACATGAAGAGAAATCTCACAGAGGAAGACATAGACATGGCCAACAAGCAATGAGAAAATGCTCTGCATCACTGGCCATCAGGGAAATAAAAATCAACACCACAATGAGATCCCACCTCACACCAGTGAGAATGGGGAAAATTAACAAGGCAGGAAACAACAAATGTTGGAGAGGATGTGGAGAAAGGGGAACCCTCTTCACTGTTGGTGGGAATGTGAACTGGTGCAGCCACTCTGGAAAAGTGTGTGGAGTTTCTGCAAAGAGTTAAAAATATACCTGCCCTACGACCCAGCAATTGCACTGCTGGGGATTTACCCCAAAGATACAGATGCAGTGAAATGCCGGAACACCTGGACCCCAATATTTATAGCAGCAATGTCCACATATATACTAAGTATACTAAGTAAATAGGAAGGAAGGATAATCTAACTCCTCTACCAATCTGTAACAATAGCTGAATGTTGACTTTTTCCATAGAAAAACAAACTCTAGCTCAACAAGGAAAGAGCATGGGTGGGAAGGATAATTGGGTAACTGACCACATGGATCCTCTTGGCAACTCTCCCACTTCCTCGATCTGCATATAAGGAGTATGCCGGGCACCGGGGCCAGTACTTCTCTAGGACGTCACATCCTGTCTCCTCCAACATGCACCTTCTCCAGCTCCTGTTCAGAGCCGGCCCTGCCATTCTGCTCCTGGTTCTCTGTCTGCAGTTCAGGACCAACAAAGCTGAGGAAGACACGTGAGCCAAGCCTTTCTCTCCCTCACAAAAATCCCTTCAGGGAGGGCTCCTAACCTAGCCTTGAAATCTGTTTATCCCTTCCTGATGTCCCTGAAACTTAGTCCTAGGGAATCTCATAAATCCCATGTCAAGTCCCACTTCTCTCCTCTTAGGAAGCTCTAGTAACTTCCCTCCTATATTCACTTGGTGCTTTTAGGTTGTCCAGGGAAACATGGTTCCCAGCGTGTATAAAGCCTGTAGTTAACAATCAGTCTTGCTCTATGGCTCTGGTCCACATCCTGTCCATAGTCTTTACCTTTATTAGATTTCTGCTCAGTGAACTTTACATTCTCATACCTTGCCTCCTAGAACAGAAGGTTTAGCAGGTCTGTGAGTTCCAATGATAGCTTTGAGCAGTTTTGGCAGGACTCACTAAAGGATCAGAGGCCCTGATCACTGAGCCTTCATGCCATAGTCCAAGGTTGAGCCAGCCCAGCAGCTTAGACATTCTGTCCTATTCTGAAGCCCAGAGACAAAAGCAAGTACACACTCACCCCACTACCCACACTAGGACCCAGGAGCACAATTTCAGAAGCCAAATCATTGAAGGTACATATTTGAAGCAAGCAGGAAAACTAGGCAAAATGAAGTAGGAAATGGAGCCAGGGTCTGGGGGAAGCAAGGACACTTAGAAATTCTAGAGGGTTTTCTCTATAGGAGTATGGTCTTAAATGCTGGGTTTTTGGATTGTGATTCTGATGGTACCCTCTGTGACACAACTAGATACCCTGTCCTGGAGTAAACCATTCAGTTTTTGACAGGTCAGTGTAGTGCAGGCAGCGTCCTGAAAAACCTTGAGTAGGCACAGGTTCAGAGATAAATGTCACGCCGTGTAGCCCTGAGGGGGCAGCAACTTGTCGAAATAAGCTGTGCTAATTAGGGTGATCAGCCATCCCTGTTTGCCCAGGAATTTCTTGGTGTTAGCACTGAAAGGCCCTCATTTCGGGAAGCTTCTCCTTCCTGGGCAAGCTGATCCAATCACTCATTCTAGCTAAGTGGATCATCTTATCAATCCTAAATTCATTTACAAATGAGAGGAATTTTAAAGACATTTAAGTCTTCACACCCCTTTCCTGTGCACTGAGCACCAGAGCACCTGGCACAAGCAATGAAGTATCTCCAAAATCAGAGATGCTTTATTCTAGGAAAATGAGACCATAAGGCATTGCAGCCAAAAACCTGAATTCCCTCTTGTCCCACCCAACACCAAAGGAGCTCAGCCAGGAGTTTCCGGGAGACAGAAAGTAACTTTCCTGGTCCTGAAACCAGTTCTCCGTGACAGAAGAATCTTTGACTTCTCTCTGCCTCCATTTCCTTTTCCCATCAGATTGTGTTATGTGCCTTCAAAGTAGGGTGGCATCTAAAGCTCCCAAATACGGTCATGTGTCCAAATTCACTGCAGACATACAGAAATACAAATTCTTAGGCCCCACCAGGAACCAAAGAAGGAAGAGCTCAAGGATGACTCAAAATTCCTCCAGTGCATTAAGATGTTTATAGTTTAATAGGATTCTGTTGTTACGGAATATTGTACTAATGATGACTTGAACCCTCCCACTTAGTGGACAATCAATAGAACCTGCAGGATTTTATTTGGAAAAAATGATGATGCTCAATGGGCACTAAAGAGGGCATATGAGATGAGCACTGGGTGTTATATGTTGGCAAATTGAATTTAAATATAAATAAAGCATCACGGTTGATTAAACAAAACAAAGTCTGTAGAAAACAATCGAACCAAACAAGAATCAAAGATTCCCAGGGGTTATGATGCTCAGCAAATGATTCAGATCTCATCATTCCCTTCCCCTTGCACCTTCCCTGTTCCCTCTGCTCTGCTCATTGTGCCCCGATCTCTTGTGGGTAGACCTTTGATCTCTGTCCTGCTTCTTTCTTCCCATAACCAGCCGAAAAGTGTTATCAATGGAAGTGCAGATGCCCAGAAAAACAGCACCAAATGAAGAAATCTCTGTGACAGTTAAAGTTCAAACAGAATTAAGAGAATGTATGGTGGTAAGTAGAGGCCTGGGGAAGTGAACTCAAGAAAAATCTGACTCCTTAGTTATGAATACAATCAGACTAATCTCTCAGTTTAATATGTTGCATATTATACTTAATAACAGGATGAATAACAATCCTTATGCTCCCAATTCTCACACATGTTATGCTACTCGAGCCTCAGAACAATCATCAGACCTTGGGGCAGATTACTATTCTGGTTTTACAGACGAGAACCTGGTCCAGAGAGGTATAGGAAGGATGAGAAGGAAAGAAGGAATGAGTAGTGAGAAAAGTCCAGCTAAGAGGGAGAAGAGAGGAAAAAGCATAAGGGCTGGGGGAGGAGAGGTAAGAATTCCCCCAAGTCCTGGGCATGATTGTTTGAGATGAAGGGTGTTTTTTCTGACAAAAAAACCTGCACCCTCATCCAGAGGATTGAGGCAGGTGGGCAGAAGAGGTATGGTGCCGAGAGCACATGGGATACGACTGCCTCCTCTAGAGTAAGCTCTGAGCAGAGGCTGTGCTTATCACCCCTCTCTTTGCTCTTCTGCTCTATCATCACAGGTTCATTCTTGTTCCAGCCTCCTCTCCTCAACAAGGAGCCCACACTCTCCTCACCACTTTCTCTAATTCAGCAGTTGTGGGAGGGAGGTCCAATCCTTTTACTAGATCAGAGGTTCTCAAATGGAAATGTGTGTTGAGACTCGCCTGTGCACTATCGCTCCTGTCTGGCTGTCTGGGCCATGAGGAGAAGGGACCTGTGCCGGTTTAGTCCACGGAGACTCTTCCCCAGGGAAGAGTGTGTCCTTCTCCCTCCTGCCAGCAGCCTTCTCATGTGTTGTCACACACACACACAATTTGCCCCTTGTTAGCTGGCACTGTTCTAGGGCCAAGACCCAGATGTCTCCCCTTGCCTCTTTCTAGAATAGCACTCTCTCAGGCAGCACAAGTGTTTCCCTACAGGAGTTTCCTAACTCAAATTAGATTTAAGTACGATGATTAAATCAAAAACAAAATTGGGAGCATGAGGATTGCTATTCATTAGAATATGTCCTAGACATGGCCCCATACCTGTAAGAGAAAGACTCTGGTCACTGAGTAAAGAACAGCATAGCTGCTTTGTCAGATTTGTCTGTTTACACCTCAAGAATTTGCACCTTGTATGTTGATTGGAGGTGGAAGGGAGCCACATCATAATCTTTCAATTTTGTTTATTTATCATAACCACAGGTGACAAAAGGAATGAGAATGTGTGCATAAAAGTCCTGTGATCATGGTAGTTTCTGGTGATGATAATAAAAGTCTGTTTCTACCTCTGAGAAAGTGATGAGTATAAAAAAGTATGTGTTTAATCAACAACATCCCACATAAAATAATTTTGTGCTACCGTGGCTAATAGGACTATATTTTAAGAACAATGCTAATTACAATAAAAAGGCAATCTTTAAAAACTTACCCAGGTACAAGGAATCTCATAAAATAAAGGATATCACAAATTAGAATTTATGGGAAATTTTGTTAGTCTGGTCAACCAATTTTTTAGACTTTTTTAAAAAAGATTTTATCTATTTATCTGAAAGAAAGAGAGCAAGTGAAAGGAGGAGGGTGGCAGGGAGAAACAGACTCCTGGCTGAGCAGGCAGCCAGTGGGGCTCTTATGACCTGAGCCAAAGGCAGCCACTTAACTAAGTGAGCCATCCAGGTGTGCTTGTGATTAACCAATATTTATTTGTAGCTTCCAATATAAAAAAATCTGTCTATAAAAACATCTTCATATTTTTAAATGTTAAGAAAACATAATTCTTCTATGTGTGAAGATTCTAGTACCGAACCCTCATTTTTTAAACAATTGTGTTTTTACAAGCAAATTTTTGATTAAGTGAGGTATTAGGATCACAAATTTAAAATAGATTATACTCTCAATCGTGTATTGGATTATAAAGATTGTATAATCTTTTTTTTTAAGATTTTTTATTTATTCATTAATGAGAGGCACAGAGAGAGAGAGAGAGAGGCAGAGACACAGGCAGAGGGAGAAGCAGGCTTCACGCAGGGAGCCTGACATGGGACTCGATCCGGGTCTCCAGGATCACGCCCTGGGCAGAAAGTGGCGCTAAACTGCTGAGCCATCCGGGCTGCCCACATTGTATAATCTTTTAAGGTTGAAGAGAATTTATGGCAAACCACAGTACTTAAACATTTGTGGTGTAGAGCATTTTGCTGGTCTCGTGAAGTCTAGGGAACACATCAGAAAATTGCTTTTAAATGTGTGCCTGAAATGCATTGGATTATACAGGGAAGCTACCATCATGAAACACAGTGATCGGATTATTAAAAACAAACTTTTGAGGGGTGTCTTGGTTGTTCATTTGACTAAGTGTCTAACTCTTGATCTCACCTAAAGTCTTGATATCAGGGTCCTGAGTTCAAGCCCTGTGTTGGAGCTTACTTATAAACAAACAAACAAACAAACAAACAAATAACTTTTAAGCTGGTATTATTTACACTCTTTATCAGTACATTAGCTAAAAAGGCAATATATTTAAAATGTAAACAAGTTAAATTTTATTTTATAAAGATTATCTATGTAATGGCTCTTGTTGCTCTTGCTGCTCACCTTGAATAAGTAGCTTCTACTGTGTACTGGGTTTTGACAAGTGGATTCCAACGGATTTGGATTTTTTTGTTTTGAGTATTTAAATGCTGAAAATTCTAATCCATTGGGATAAACTGTTGTAAATGCCAATAAAAAGGGAAACCAGGCAACGGTAGGTTTCTTGAAAGAAACACCAGGATCTCCAAAGTAAAATTCTAACGGTGAGAATGCTTGAATTCACCGTTTGTAGCTGACAGGCTATTCGGTGCACGGTTGCCAGTTAGCTGGGCAAGCTTCAGGAGATGGGCAGACGGCCCTGGCCATGACCATGCAACCTCATGATAATGTCCCTGGGTTCAAGGTAGCGATCAGAACAGGCAATATTCTGAGATATATAAACCTATAAGTGATGCAAACATATCTACGTTTCTCTCCATGATAAAATCACGCATACTGCTAATGCCACTGAGGATTGTTGATGACGTAACAGAACACTTAATTTTAGTGACGGGTTAATAAAGATACAATTTCTTTCCATCCGAGTTCACAGACTCAGTGAATTCTATATGCAGACCCCTGAGGGTCTATACACCCCAGGATAACACCCCCTTGCCGGACACTAATCAGACAAAAGCTTCCTGATGCTGCTGAAGCTTACATATCTCAAATTGTAAAGCCCTCTCAAAGTAAAAAAGGAAAAAGAAAATTTACCTTCGAGATTTTGTTTGTTTATCTAACCAACAACTTTGGTAGGTAACTGTTTCCCTCTCACAGCTGAGGAAAGAGAGACTGAGAGCTGTCACTTCAGTCATCAAAGGTCACAGAGATCAAGAGGAGCACGATTCTGGCAACAAGTCCTGGTTTTGGCCTCCCTACACAAAAGCCAAGCTGTGGTCACAGACAGGTTCCTGAAAGCCCTCACCAGGGAACCAAAGTAAATCTGCTCCCTAGATGAAGGCTGCCCCAGAATGTGGTCTCCTTGTCTTGTCAATTCACTAACTCTTCCCATCAGAGCCAAGCCCCATGGTGGCGCTAAAGCAGGAATTTGAAGACATGTTGACAGGAAATCTTCTCACATAGACTTTAGTTCCCAAAATGATACTACAAAATTGGACTCCACGGTGCCTCTGGTCTATATCTGTACCTGTTCTTTGTGCACGAAGGATGTTGTCCTCCTCCCCCTCCTCCTCTTTCTTCAGATTCCCTTATCTTTCTCTCCCTTTACAACTCCCCAGACTAACACAAGGTCCTCTCTTCCCACCTCCTCCTCCTCAGATCCAATGTTCCCTCCTAAGTCGCAATCCAATGGAAGGGCCTTTTAACTATGTTTACACTGCCTGTCTCTGTGACAGTAATCCAAGAACTTTCTACTGGGACTTTGAAGTCAATAGTAAGTACAGGGGTCATTCAAGGGAAGAACGATCTGCTAGGGTGGGGGAAAACATAAAAAGAAATGTGACTCCAGATGTGAGCAGAGTGTTGGGGCAGAAGGGTAGAGACAAAGGAGGGAAGAGGGGAGAGTAGATGGGGACTATGCTCAAGTGTGAAAGGTGAGAGGTTGTGGGAGAAAAGCTAATAAGGGAGATACATTTGCAAATGATTTGGGGAAACTGGGCCCTAGTGGGGAGGTGCCTGAAGCTAGGAGAAAAACCAAGAAATGGGGTTAGACTGTAATCAGAGAACATCTTTGTCCTGTCTCTTTCAGAAACTATGTCAATAATAGCATTGGCCCACATTATTGATAAAGAAGATATCTGCCCTTACAAAGCAGTGGTGCCCAATGGACCAAAATATTTTTATACTGTGAAGAACATAACAGTATCTTGATCCTGTTGGAAGCTTTGGTCTAACTGCCCCCCAGGGTGGTTCTACAAAGAAAACTTGGCTGGAGTATCTGTTGTGGTCTGTGAAATAAACTTCTCACAAACTTCTCTGTGTTCAGTTGTGTCTTCTCTTCCAAATCTACCCCAAAGGAGCCTCAGAGCCCCCAGAATTTCTAGAACTTTGTTCTCTCAAAGAACTGTTACTGAGGAGAGTTTCTCATTGCCCACTGGTATGCAGAGTGAGAAATGAAGAAATAAAGAAGACTCACGGAAATTCTCTGGGCTCCTACATATGATGCCCTTTCCCTATACCCATGACCTGTGTTTCCCTACTACAGGGGAAAACTCAGAAAGCTAGGTAATGCCAGGTGTTAGTGGAAAATGAGGGGCTCTGGGAGCAATTAAGCACTGCTGATGGCCTTTTGGAGAAAACCATCTGATATTACTTAACCAAATCAATTCTACACCTACCATATGACCCAGCACCTGCACAACTAGAAGCTACAGTAAGAGACCCTGGGCTCGTAGGCCAGTATGTTCTACCTATGGAAAACAAAGCACCACTGAATAGCCAATGTTCTAAAATATATTCCCCATCTTGAAGGACATCCCTACAACCCTAAACAGTGTGATCTCCAAGCTATCTCCTTTGCTGCTCATTTATGAGCTTTTTCCAGCATGCTGTAGGCAGCCAGTAGTTTCCTGATGATGCCATTAAGGGCAAACTGGTAGATTCATTGATCACATGCCCATCATGGCAAGCCTTTCATTTAAAAGAAAGATTCCCGGTCAGGCTGGGACTGCGGCCGATGAGACCGGCGAGGCGGGCGGAGCGGCGGCGACCCCGGGCCCGGCCGGCGGCGGGCAGCAGGAGGATGCGAAGCGTGCGCGCCGCGCGGCTGCTGGGGGTGGCCGTCCTGCTGGCGGCCGCTGTCCCCGGCAGTGGCAGCGTGCAAGGAACCAATAGAACCTCTAAAGGAAGAAGTCTCATTGGTAAGACTGACAGCTCGTCGCAGATCACTGGGAAAGGAGTTACAGTGGAACAAGGCTTTTCTGTGGATGACGTCTCTTCCTCCATCCTCACTGGAAAACTGACTACTGTCTTTCTCCCAACTGTCTACACAATTGTATTTATGGTTGGTTTGCCAAGCAACGGCATGGCTCTGTGGGTCTTTCTCTTCCGGACGAAGAAGAAGCACCCTGCTGTGGTGTACATGACCAACCTGGCCTTGGCAGACCTCCTTTCTGTGGTCTGGTTCCCGCTGAAGATCTCCTACCACATCCATGGCAACAACTGGGTTTATGGGGAAGCCCTTTGCAAGGTACTCATTGGCTTTTTCTATGGCAACATGTACTGCTCCATTCTCTTCATGACCTGCCTCAGTGTGCAACGGTATTGGGTCATAGTGAATCCCATCGTGCACCCCGCGAGGAAGGCAAACATCGCCTTGGGAGTCTCCCTGGGGATATGGCTGCTGATACTGCTGGTTACCATCCCCCTGTATGTCATGAGGCAGACTATGCACATTCCAGCCCTTAACATCACGACCTGCCATGATGTCTTGCCTGAGGAAGTGTTGGTGGGGGACATGTTCAATTATTTCCTCTCTCTGGCCATCGGAGCCTTCCTATTCCCAGCCTGCCTCACAGCCTCTGCCTATGTGCTGATGATCAGAACACTCCGCTCTCCTGCTATGGATGAAAACTCGGGAAAGAAGAGGCAGAGGGCCATCAAGCTCATTGTCACCGTCCTGGCCATGTACCTGATCTGCTTTACCCCCAGTAACCTTCTGCTCGTGGTACATTATTTCATGATTAAAACCTGGAGCCAGAGCCACGTCTATGCCCTGTACATGGTGGCTCTCTGCCTGTCCACCCTTAACAGCTGCATTGATCCCTTCGTCTATTACTTTGTTTCACAAGACTTCAGGGACCATGTCAAGCACGCTCTCCTTTGTCGGAGTGTCCGTTCAGTCAGGCAGATGCAAGTATCCCTCACATCAAAGAAATTCTCCAGGAAATCCAGCTCTTATTCTTCAAGCTCAACCAGTGTCAAAACCTCTTACTGAGTTTTTCAGCCCCTCTGTTACTGTCCAGGAGGCCTTGGAGCCTACTCACTGTGATGGGTGTTTTCCTGTTGTTCCCTAACCCAGTGGGTCTCCCCATGTACCACGCATATGTAGGACCTCTCAGGATTGCTGGAAGCTTCCCTGTTTCATGAAGAAAGTCCCCCCCAATTAACAGAGATGTCAGTTTTAGAATTCCTCTACGCAGGTGCTCCCAGAAATGGAACTAAAAGAAGCAGACTTTTCAGAAGGTGATGAAAAAACAGAAGCCCAGCGACTTGTAAAAACTAATGTTGGCACGAAGACTCCGTTCTCAGCCAAAACTACATTTCTTTTACATCCGGGCTCATTCACAGCCATGTTAGAGCTTCCACGTTCCTCAGAGATGATCAGACCGATTGTACAGATGGGGCAAGTAAAGAGGTGAAGAAGCTACTCCGAGTCAGGGTAGCTTCCATGCCAACCAAGGGCAGCCAGTCCGATCTGCGGATTGGACCATAGACTTCCAGTGTTCAATGGGTTCTCCTACCTCCTCTTGTTTAAAAATACAGGTTCATCAGACTCAGGAATGAGAGGGCTCAGGGTCTGAGTCAGGAAACTATTTTAACAAGCCCCTGCTGCGTATGCTCCTGCACACCAAGGTTTGAGAACCACTGGTCTGGGTGCTGCTTCCACTTGACAAGGTGCCAATGGAGAAGCAAACTGCTTTGTGTCTCTTTTATGTGTAGCTTGTAATAAGATCTGCTTATGGTCTCATTAGGACTTTCAGTTATTTATCAGTCCCTTGAACTTTTGTATGTATCCTTATCACTACAAGGAAAGTACATTGAAGATTTTAAGTGTGGAAATACAAATTTTGTGTGACTTTAAACTGACTCAGAATCTTCAGTTTGAGTTATAGATGGTTTCAAAGTAAGAATGGCATTTACCACTTGTTTTTCAGAATTGTAGTTGGATTATTTATTTATTGTCAGTTTTCTTCACTTGCTACAAATATGAAATTGTAATGCCTTCTCTGGGTTTGAACCACATTCTAGAAAAGAATGCTAAAGAGATGTGATTTAAAATATATTTACAGGGTACTTTTCCAAACTGAATTTATGTAACTGTTGTATTTGTGATTTTTTGAAATAATCTTATCGTAATGATTGATTTGTAGAAACATATGACTCCCCCCCTTTTTTTATGACTTATTTTTGAGTTGTATGTTTTGTAGGGTTTTTTTGAGGGAAAGTATGGGAAGCCTCAGCATCATTCCTATAAAAAGAAATCTGATGCTCACACCATACTTCTTAGATGAATAGGGCCATGCAGTACATACTGCTTCATATTTGTTTTCATTTAACATTTCAGAATATTTTTCCATTCTGTGTTTATAGGCTGACCTCCATTTTTAATAGATACAGACTTTAATTTGGGGGTATATTGTGATGCATTTCGTCATTTCCCTAGCAATGTCTCCTGAAGTCTCTCTCTCTCTCTCTCTTTTGTTATTAAAACAACATCTAGGGATGCCTGGGTGGCTCAGTGGTTGGGCGTGTGCCTGTGGCCCAGGGTGTGATCCCAGGGGCCCAGGATCGGGTCCCGCATTGGGCTCCCTGCGAGGAGCCTGCTTCTCCCTCTGCCTGTGTCTCTGCCTCTCTCTGTGTGTCTCTTATTAATAAATAAATCTTAAAAAAAATAAAACATCTATACTGCATTAGACATCGGTGTAGACATCTTTGTGAGTATTTCTCTAGGATAAGTTCCTGGAAGTAGAATGACCAGGTCAAAAGTTAGATGACCACTCTAAATTTTGGTAACTCTTGCCAAATTACCTTCAGTAATTTATATATATAAAGATCTTATTTATTTATTTATTCATGAGAGACCAAGAGGGGCGGAGACACAGGCAGAGGGAGAGGCGGGTTCCCTGCAGGGAGCCCAATGCGGGACCCGATCCTGGGCCCCTCGGATCGGGCCCTGGGCCACAGACAGACACTAAACCACTGAGCTGCCCAGGGATCCCTGCTTCAGTAATTTATATTTCTACCAAAATAGTACATTTGCTCCTGTTTCCTGAAATGCTCGTCCATTTGATCTGTCGATCTTTTATTCTTTTAATTTGTATTGAAGAAGCATAGCCTAGTGGTTAAGAGTGCAGCTCCTGAGCTGGCAGGCAGGAGTGACCTCTGACTCCATCATTTCTTGTTCTGTGAGCTAAGGAAAGATCCTTCCCTGTGCTTTAGTCTCCTCATTTGTAAAATTAAGATAATGATACTTTCCTTATAGAGTTATGAGGATTAAATGTTCGGCACATTTATGCACTCATAAATACTATGTAGCACTGTGGCTGTCACTCTGACTGCTAATGACATTTCATTTCTGCTCTGTCCCCTGTCCCCTTTAGTGCCAGTTTACACCTTGTCTTCCCTGCCTGCTCTGCTTTGAGTCTCAGCAGGCTTAGGTTGTCTTCATCTTACAGGTAAGAAAGCAAAAGATGGTGGGCACAGAAGAAAAGGAAGCAGAAGCAGATGGCTCACAAGGGCCCTGCAGGTGGTGTATGGACTGATGCAGTGGAAAAACTTATTTTGGTATATTTGCCATCTCTTTATCAGACATTTTTATGATACATGCTGGTATATTAAACTGAACAAGAACATATAAATAAAGATTTTCTTTCCTAAAAAAAAAAAAAAAAGAAAGATTCCCTTAAAATAAAGAGATATTAGATGAGATTCCATGTCTATGGCCAACAAGCACATGAGAAAATGCTCCACATCACTTGCCATCAGGGAATTACAAATCAAAACCACAATGAGATCCCACCTCACACCAGTGAGAATGGGGAAAATTAACAAGGCAGGAAACCACGAATGTTGGAGAGCATGTGGAGAAAGGGGAACCCTCCTGCACTGTTGGTGGGAATGTGAACTGGTGCAGCCACTCTGGAAAACTGTGTGGACGTTCCTCAAAGAGTTAAAAATAGACCTGCCCTACGACCCACCAGTTGCACTGCTGGGGATTTACCCCAAAGATACAGATGTAGTGTAACGCTGGAACACCTGCACTCCGATGTTTATAACATTAATGTCCACAGTAGCCAAACTGTGAAAGAGCCTCAGTGTCCATCAAAAGATGAATGGATAAAGAAGATGTGGTCTATGCATACAATGGAATATTACTCAGCCATTAGAAATGACAAATACCCACAATTTGCTTCCACGTGGATGGAACTGGAGGATATTATGCTGAATGAAAGAAGTCAATCGGAGAAGGACAAACATTAATTGGTCTCATTCATTGGGGGAATATAAAAGATAGTGAAAGGGAATAAAGGGGAAAAGAGAAAAAATAAGTGGGAAATATCATAAAGGGAGACAGAACATGAAAGACTCCTAACTCTGGGAAACAAACAAGGGGTAGTGGAAGGAGAGGTGGGCGGGGGGTGGGGGTGACTGGGTGATGGGCACTGAGGGGGACACTTGATGGGATGAGCACTGGGTGCTATGCTCTATGTTGGCAAATCGAACTCCAATAAAAAAATGCAAAAAATAAAACAAAAATCATTTGAAATCCAGGACTTAGGAATAACTCCAATGAACTCTCTGACAGCCATTTCCACTCATATCCCATTGGAAATGCAATTTAGGTGGATTGATTCCACCACCATACTTGGGGCAGGTCCCATTTGACCTAAGGCAATCAGAGTCATTTCATACACACACACACACAGACACACACACACACACGCACATGCACACGCACACACACACTGCCTCACCAATGCAATTACCTCCATTATAATCAATCAGTGCCTGGTATCCTCCTGGCCACAGTGATTGATTCAAGAGTGGTCACGTGCCCTACATCGGTCTGGGTTAAAGTAAGTCCAAGATTCCTCTCTGTTAGGAGAAGCTCCCAAGCCCACCCTAATCCAGGTTTGACAAGTGTAAAGGAGAAAGATTCATCCCCACAGCTGCTAGAAGCCTGTGTAGAAGTAGAGCTTATATTCAGGAGATGGAATTAACAATGGAGAAAGAGAAATTGTGTCCTATCCCATCAGTTGGTTCCTAAAATCAGATTCTCCTATGTCTAGTCCCCAGGTGTTGTCTCTTCTTAATTGAAGAAGATGAAATTTCTAGATTTAAGAAAATGTATATTTTCCCTCTATCCCTGCTCTAGATCTACTTGTGTGGCTGTCTTGATAAGGGGTCTCCAGGACAATTTTCTTTTGGAGCCTGAGGTTCCCCAAGAAAATCCTATTTTGAAATGAAATTTTTTAACCGTGCTTCCAGATTGTCTTGTACATTTTCTAAAACCTGGTCCATAAATATAAAACTGGAGAATGCCACTTGATTTTAGTACAGCAGTTTGAGTTTGGGTGCCAGTGCTATGTTTGAAATGTAAGGATGTTATTAGATTTGTACTATCTATGTTTAAAAGACTGGTAGATTAACTGAGGCTGCAATGCCTAAGCACTCCTGGGAAGGGTCAGAATCACACTCTGTGGTTCTCTAAAAGAGATGATCCAGAGGCTGTCTGACTGTGAATGTCTGTAACTACACGACATGAACCCCTGTCCAGGCTGTTCCTCCCGAGCTTACTGAAACTCACTTAAAGTGCCATTCCTCCCCCGACTAAACCTGGGGGCAGCCAATTTCCTGGAAGGCTTGTAGGTTGTCAAGAGATCCCCCAACTTCTCTTGCAGCACTTCCATGCTCACACTACCGGGGGTAGTGAGAAGCCATAAGATAATTCTTTAATTCTTTCTTTAAGATTCTCCCCTGAGAGGTGGATGAAAGCCAGCATGCTTTGTTTATATATTGAGACTCACCTGAAAAATAAAGAATTCATCCTGGCACCACCTGGAATTAGAAAGATAGTCTGGGTGAAGCACACTTCAACTCTCATTCTCCTATTTATAGTTGGCAGGTAGTACTTCTGGGGCTTGTCTGTATTTCTAGCAGGCATTTATCAGTATAGCTGTTCTCTACTGAGGTCATAGCATCTTCATTTTGTGTGAAAGCTCTAATTCCTAGCATGTATTCAAACTACTGTGTTCACTGTACCTGCCTCTGATCATGCATAATACATAGGACCTTCCACAGCCTCAGAGAATGCACCACCTTCTCCAGATTTCCATCCACTTCACCTTCTTGTGTAGATACTCTTTTTTTAAAAAGATTTTATTTATTTATTCATGAGAGAGAGAGAGAGAGAGAGAGAGACAGAGAGAGAGAGAGAGAAGCAGAGACACAGGCAGAGGGAGAAGCAGGCTTCATTCAGGGAGCCTGACGTGGGACTCGATCCCGGGCCTCCAGAATGAGACCCTGGGCTGTAGGCGGTGCTAAACTGCTGAGCCACCCGGACTGCCCTTGTGTAGATATACTTGCTGTTTCTGAGTAAATTTTTTAAAAAAGTAATAAAGGTGGGGACAGGACAAAGGTATATGAATTGATCTGGTATCCAGAAGGAGACATAGACAGACAAACACATATACAAAAGAATACTGCAATTTTAGGTGGTGAGAAAAAATGAAGCAGAAATAGAGGTGGGAAGTGGAGGGTAGTGGTAATGTAGCATCATTTTTGATAATGTGATCTGACATTTGTGCCAAAGGAGTGAAGGAGTCAACCAAGAGATGTGAGGGGAGACTTTGAACTTTCCTTTATGTCTGATGGGAAGTCACTGGACATATTTTTAAAGTATAAGCCAGTCCCCTGGGGAGGTGGTGTTGAAAAGCAGAAAGGCTGGTTAGGAGCCTATTGGAATTGCTGCAAAATCCAGGCAAGAGATGATTATATGAATTAAAGCAATTGCAATGGAGGTGGTAAAAAGCAACTGAATTCTAGGTATATTCAAAAATAGTAACAATAGAATTACTCGATGGATTCCACGTGAGATGAGATGAGATGAGAGAGATGTAGCAAGCATAATGCCTAGATTTGATACCTGAGGAACTCTGTGAATTCTGGTGCCATTTCCTAAGGGAAAGAAAATTGAGAGTAGGTGCATGTAGAGAGTTATGCTTTAAGTGTTTAAATTGAAGGATGCTTTTAAAACACTGAATTAGAGGTGTTGAGTAAGAAATTAAATATAAACATCTAGTGATCATCAGAAAGATCAAGGTAGACATAGCAAATTGGACGTTTGAATTTAAGTAGATTATCTCTAAAGCCCAAGGACCAGAGGAGATCATGTAGGGATGAATCTAAGAGATCAGAACATAGGCCTTTCCAACATTTGATAGCCAGAAAGAGAAGAAGCCAGGAAAGAGATTAATTTGGGGAATGTTAGGATTTTGTGTATGTGTGTGTACTTTAATGTTTTTTTTTCATTGATAAATGCTGCAGATATCCAAGGGACATATGTAAGATGTATGAGTATCCATCCATTCAGATCTCCTTATGCACTAGAATTATTCTACATCTATTAAACTATATTTATCAGATTTATCAATTTTCTTCTCTTCAAATAACCAGCTCTTAATTTTATGTATGATTTATACCAGTTATTTTCCATGTAATTAATTCATGCTTTTATATTATCTTCCTATTTTGCTTTGGATTAGTACTTTGTTCTATTCTGGAATTTTACACTATATTAGTTTTTTCATTAATATCTCTTTCTTATTTCTTCTTATTTAAAGACCTTTAAATGACTCCATTTTCTTCTAAACACTGTTTTGGCCACATCTCAACACATTTTGCTATGCAGACTTGTGATTATTATTATTTTAAAATAGATTTTTATTGCATTCTAAATTTTTTCTAAGCTAATTTTTACTTAAAAAGTATATATTTTTTAAATTGTATTTATTTATTTGAGAGTGAGAGACAGAGCAAGCACAAGTTGGGGGAAGGGGCAGAGGGTGGAGCAAACACCACAGAGCAGGGAGCCTGACACAAGGCTTGATTCCAGAACCCAGGATTATGAACTGAGCTGAAGGCAAATATTTAACCAACTGAGCTGCCCAAGCACCCCTAAACAAGTATTTTGATATCTCAAGAATTAAGCAATTTATTAATATTTTCATCATTTACTTCTTTTTTAAATATGTTATGATTAGAGGATGTGTTGAGCAGAATTCTTTCTATTCCATGTTAGTGTTGGTACTTTAAAAATGTTTTTATGGCCTGTTTATGATTTTTTTTTGGTGACAGCTATACATAGGTATGTTTTTTGTCTCTTTCATTAAATTTTCCAACAATCCATTAAAATTGCCTGAATAAAGCTCAAGGTAGACCCAGACTAACCAACTAACACCATAAGGACCAAACAGGGGCAAAGAAAGCCACTGCAGATGACTGAACTGAATTAAAAAGTGGCTCAGCAATGTCAACACCTGGAGACACCTCTGAAGCATTAGGTTTCAGGGAACAGAAGACATCACACTGCCAGGAACTACAGGACCTCTTCTACATAAGGCCATTACATTCAAGCAGGAGTTGCAACAGCTTTTCCTAACAAAGAGGAACAGACACCAAGAGTTAGAAAAAATGAGGAGACAGAAGAATATGTCCAAGATGAAAGAACAGGACAAAATCACAGCAAGAGATGGAAGTGAAATGGAGATAAGTAATATGCCTGAATTTAAAGTAATGATTAGAAAGATATTCACTGGACTTGAGAAAAGAGTGTAGAACATCGGTGAGACCCTCGACAAAGAGAAAAAAATCA